GCGCACTTTGTCCTCACTCATGCGCGCCATGAGAAACTTCTTAGGGGGTCACCCATCCCAAGACTACTCCCGTGCAAGCATGCTTAACTTTGGAGTTCTTAGGTGATGAGCTTCCTTAAAAGGAGATGCACCTCTGTTGGTATGAGTAGTACTATTAATCCTCTTAAATTAATCTTGGGTATTACAATCACCCCCACTTAGGATCGCAACGTCCTCATTGCGCCCTTAACTATCTCAATCAAACCCTAGAATCTTGCCTCGCGAAGTGTCCGCCCGATATCCAACAGGTCAGCACACTGTCACATGGTTGCTCTGATCCCTTGGCTTAGCGGATTACTATCGTAAATTTGTTGAGAAATTCTCTGTGTTGGCGTCACCACTAACGAGGCTCACGAAGAAGGGGGCTAAGTTTGTATGGGACGACAATTGTGAGAAAGGGTTTCTTGAGCTAAAGAAACGACTTACTGAGGCACCAGTTCTTGCGCTACCATAAGGTATAGGGTATGATATCTATAGTGATGCTAACATCCAAGGGGCGGGGGGGGGGGGGGGGGGATACCGTAGATACTATTTTAGGATAGCTTGCTACCTTAGATAGTTTCTTTTTGATATTTTTGATGCATTGTATTATGTTATTTTCTGGATATATATATTTACATTTTATTAAAAAAAAAGTTCAGGCAAGAGGATCCAGCAAGGATGGAAACCATAGATTTTCATCAACTGCAACTTTATTTGTATTGCATTTTTTATTTGAGACTTAATTTGCTTGTTGTTTTTGTTTTGCACAATAGAGGGGGGTGTTTTTGTTTTGTTGGTTGGTTGTGGGTAGGAAGGTTGTTGGAGGCAATTGGCCTGATTTAGCCGCTAATAGCTCCATGCTCTCACAGTTTCAGCGAATAGTCTCGCACTTCTCGAAGTGGACTATTCTATGTATTGGTATGGGTTGGATGGAGGGAAGTTTAGATCTTATGGCTTGGGTGTTGTTGCGAATGATTTGATCTTAATATATGTCGTTTCTTTACAAAAAAACAATGACTTAATGTTGAAAGTTAAGGACTTTCATTCATAAAGTAGTAGTTTCTTGAAATGATATTTTATTTTATAAGAACTTTTTAAGAATTGTTGGGCTAAAATACACTTAATTTTTTTGAGAGATCTTTTTTTTGGAGGAAATCAGCTTAAATTGACAACGCACCATTTAGATAATGGGTAAAAAGACAAAAAGACCCCTGACATCTGCCGACCCTCGAACCAGACTCAGAGTTTATCACCTCTAAAGAAGCCATATAACTCGTTGCTCCATTAGTGGGCGCAAATGAGCCAAAGACGGTTAACACAACCCTTTCGTCACCCACATCCAAATCCACAGTCTTACAATGAAATAAAAGCAAAAAAACTCCTGCCCCATCACCCAGATCACCACCATCTTCCATATACCCCGATCCTCCTTCTATCCTAGATGCCTCGGTGGGCCTACGGTTTGGGGCCCCGTCTCCTCCTTGTTTGTTGCTTTGTCCAAAACCATGTTATGCCCAATTTGATTCTCAGTTTCCTGAACCTCCCAGATTCGCCTTCGTTTTTTCTCCCCTGACACTTCCTCAATGCTTTCAAATTCCACATCTTTTGTCGAGCTGTTAATCGTGTCCGACGTGGATTCCTTCCAGCCCCCTCGTACTCTACCATCTGACTTATTCTCTTCCTTGAGATGGGGTCCCCGATCCGAGCTAGATGAACCATTTCTAGCATTTGTTGATGGCAGATTAATGATAGATAATATCTTTCTGGCATAAGAGCTAGTGAAGGGATATACTAGAAAGAGGGTCACACCTAGATGCATGATAAAGGTAGACCTTAGGAAAGCATATGACACTATTTCATGGGAATTCTTAGAAAATGTGTTAAGAGACATTGGACTTCCAAATATTTTTGTTAATTGGATAATGGAATGTGTAACTACATCATCTTTCTCCATTTCCATTAATGGTACACTCCAGGGATGGTTTGAAGGAAAACGAGGACTTAGACAAGGGGACCCCATGTCTCCATTACTATTTGTGTTATGCTTGGAATACTTTTCTAGGCTGATGGACCTGAGGACCTTGGATCCTAAATTTAAACATCATCCCCTATGCTCCCAACAAAAAATTTCTCATTTAGCATACGCGGATGATTTGGTACTTTTTTTAAAAGGGGATTGTAAATCCATTGAGATTATGGCTGAGACTCTAAAGGACTTTGGCAAAGTATCTGGCCTAATGGTAAACCATGACAAATCTAACATCTTCTTGGGGGGTAATGTTTCAAATGCACTACCCCAAATATTGGATTTGGTAGACTTTCAACAAGGCACATTCCCGGTTAGATACTTAGGCATCCCTTTAGCCCCATTAAAGATCTCGGTGGCACAATTTTCTCCTTTAATTGACACTGTCACATATTATATTAATGCGTGGAATACTAAGTCTCTTTCTTATGCAGGGAAAGTGGAATTGATAAAATCTGTCATGCAAGGAGTTCAATCATTTTGGTTGGGTATCTTTCCGGTACCAAAGACTATACTTGATAGGATTTTGGGGCTGTGTAGAATTTTTCTTTGGGGGGGGGGGGGGGGGGTAAATACTCAAAAGTGGCGTGGGATGATGTGTGTCTCCCAAAGGAAGAGGGAGGACTTGGCATTAAAGATGCAAAAATCTGGAACCATGCTCTCCTCTCTCGGATTTTGTGGAATATACACAATAAGCAAGACACGCTATGGGTTAGGTGGGTTCATGGTGTTTATCTCCATGGGAGAGATGTGTGGACATTTGTTCCACACAATAGGGACTCTCAATTGATGAAAAGGCTTGCTTTAATCCGAGATTCCATTGTCTCAAAATTCCCCACAATTGATATGGCATTAGCCTTCCTCAATAAGAGCTCAATGAACGGTAAACTAGATACCGGGAAAGTTTATGACTTGTTAAGAGTGAAATTCGCACCTAAGATGTGGATGTCCTTCATTTGGAAGTCCTATATACCACCAAAGTTTTCATTCATAATGTGGCTGGCCTTGAGAAATAGGTTACCTACGTATGATAATTTGAGATTTCTTGATGTGATTAACGAATGTCCTTTTTGTAAGGGTGAACCGGAGACGGTGCCACACCTATTTTTTGGATGTAATTTTGTAGGGCAGGTCTGGAAAAAGGTGAAGCTTTGGCTTGGAATTACAAGGGAAATGACTACTTTGAAGAGTGCAATCAAATGGATTAAAGAGGGGCATAATGGAGCAAATATCAAAGCAAAAGCTATAAGGATATCATTATGCTATATGGTCTATTGGACTTGGAGAATGAGAAATGCCATTCGGTTTGATGGTGCCACGGCCAATGTGGAAGACATGATTACACAAATCATGTATATGGTGTATAAAGTACTTTATCTTCTTTACCCGGTCCATATGATCACTTTTTGAAACTTTGGGTTGTTCATCACCCATTTTTTGTCATGGCTTGATGGCTGTTTTTGGGGTGGATAGCTAGCTTATATGGTTAGCTATCAAGTTTTGTGGTTTGGAGTAGGACAGCTAGCTGCTATGGTTAGCTATCTAATATGTTTTTTTTTTGTGAGGCATTCTATACCTTGAATGCCGTAGGTGTTTTGTAATCTTGTACATTGATGTACATACACATTCTTAGATATATATATTTACATTCTATCAAAAAAAAAAGAACACGTTCATATCAACAATATGATAGAAAGTAAAGAGATACCTTTTATCGCCAATTCCTTTAATGGACACACATTTTCCCGACCTCCATAGCGAAGCCATAAGCTCCTTAAACACTGGGAATTTGATCTTTCTGTCCGTCAATAGAGCACCCACAACTGGAAAGGTCGGTTGAGTCTCCTCCATGGATGCTTCATCAATCTCGATCTCATCCATATTCACCTCCACTACCTCTCTCCTTTGTCCGATGCTGCTAGATAACCCCAAAGTCGCCTACGGCACCGCTCCTCGAGTATGTCGATAGCGAAAGAAACAAAACCCTAACGATGGAGACCACTTAGACAGAGAAACTAATTATTTTTTTGAGAGATCTTTTGAATAGCACAAAAATCAAAATATAATGATTTGGCTCCAATTCCAATCTTGTTCCAACGAATTTAAAGGAAGAACTAATTAATAGGAACGAGGGAGCTTAAACCCTTGGCGACGGGCAGGGGCTATTTCCCTCAGCAAGATCACCTATTCAGCCGGCAACGAATCTGCTACCATACTGTGATCTTTGTCAGTGTATTTCGTAATTGCATCCCGTGCGAGGGAGAATAATTTACTCAAAGATTGGAATATCGTGCGTTTTATTTATTGGTTTAGCCGTTTAGGGGCGAAATGCCAGCACATGTGTTCTAGCTTCTAGGTCTGATCTATAACGCACGGAAACGGTTGGGGAGGGAGTTTCCGTGTATTGGAAACGTTCGAACGTTTCTGAGCGTGGGAAACGGAAAAAACGCGTACCTGGGCCATTTCTCAATTTTGGGAAGTTCTGAAACGCGCTTCCCAGCAAACAAACCCATCTCCGATAAAAAAAATTGGGCCTTTTTAGTTTCACTCTTCAACCCTACGCAGTCAAGTTCCATCGCAGACTCACTCGCAGGCTTCACCGGCTTCAGCAGACCTCGTCAGTGACCAGGGCCGGCCTAGGACATGTCTTCCCGGTCCAACCGTACATGGCCCGGATTTTTGAAAGGCCCCAAAAAAATAGTACTCTATCCGTCCCGTTGGAATGTTCCCGATTTGACCTACACACATATTAAGGAAATAAACTTACCACGGGGTAAATTTTACTGTTTTGACACTGTTTAGCACTGTTTCGACACTGTTTCGACACTGTTTTGCACTGTTTGACGGAATAATGTCAAAAATATTAGTAATGACTTTTACAAAGACAAAAATATGACCTCAATTAAAATTAGACAAAAAAAAGACTAAACTTAAATCAACGGAAAGAAAAGTTCCCGACCTTATTCTTTCGTTCGCAACACCCCTTGTCCTTTGCTCTTGCGCATCAAAGCCCCGACTCTCCTCCTTCGCTGCTCTCATCATTAATCGCCGCCGCCTGTCTCCTTCTACCAATCAGCGCCGCCAATTTCTTTTCTTCTCCTTTCTCTCACGTGGTGGCGATGGAGGATGATGTGATCCAACAATTTGCAGAAATCAGCACGAATTGCAGATACGATGGCTTCGGAGCAAATCCAATCGACGAATCGGACGAATCTGAGCGGCAAAGATGGCAAATCTGGCGGCGGCTAGGGTTCAAATATAGTGACGGGCGAGTTACAGGGGCGGCGACTCCGGTTTGAGGCGCGCGACTAGGTTTTGCTTCAGGGCTGAGGAGGGGCCTGGTTCGATGTGGGCTGGGAAGGGTGTTGGGGTGCTGTTACATGGGGCTCGGGAAGGGCAGGGCTATGTACGAGTGTACAAACATGGCAGTGGGCGGCGGTGCCGACTTGGGGGCTGGGCTGGTGGGTTGGATACGGGCTGGGAGGGGGTTGGTGGGTTGGTGGGTTGGGGAGGGGGCTGGTGGCTGGGGACAGTGGGGAGGGGTTGGGGAGGGGACTGGTGGGTTGGGAAGGGGCGGGTGTAAGGTGGCAGTTGTCGATCAACGGGTGATTGTCGGGAAGGTGTTCGGGGCTGAGTGCGAGTGTGTGGGTTGGGGTGGCGGGAGATCGGTCGCGGTAGGCGGCGGCAATTTTACCGAACCAGAAACCGTCACTATGACATATTTTTCGGCGGCAGCGACATGTTTTCCGGTGGTAGTGATGTTAAAATATGGTAGTGGCATTTCATAATGACATGAAAAAATCACAGTTATATGGTTACTAGAATCCGATGTCACTGGAATTGTAGTAACTGAGGCGGTCTCATTGGAACGGTAGTAATTGAGACGATGTCACTGGAGCGGTAGTAATTGAGATGATGTCACTGGAGCGCCAGTAACTGGTACGGTGGTTACTTGATCGGTAGTAACTGAGACGATGTCACTGTAGTGCTAATAATTGGGACAATGTCACTAAAGCGATTGTAACTATGACAGTGACCAAAAGTGGTGGCTGTAACTGAGACAGTGATAACTCGAACAATTGTCAAACAATTGTTGAAATAAAGTTGAAATAAAAAAACATTAATTTTTGTAGATTTATTATAGAATGCATGGATTGCATTTAAAATTTGAATTGATATTAAATAAGTAAAAACATCAATTGTTATAGAGTGCATTGTTAACGTAGTATATGCCACCTTTCAAATAAAAAACATATTATATGCCACGTGTAACTTCTAAGGTGATTCGGAAGGTGCCGTTCAAGTGCCGTTCCCAATTTTAGTAGCCGGTAGGTCACTTTTTCGGCTTTTTTAAATTGGACTCACTTTTGTGGAATTGGGTCTCCTAATACTAATATTGATGTCCTTTTCCCACCTTGTTTTGATGTAGGATAACTTTCCATTTAGGAAAATGAGAACATTCCAACGGGACGGAGAGAGTATTAGACCAGGCCCATTAACCTTTAGCCCAACATACACCTTCACCCAAAACCCCTTCGCCCAAACCCCATGCGAGTGTGCGACCTGCGTTAACTCCCGACTCCCAAGCGGTGAAGGTCCGACTCCAACCACACCTCCTAAGCTCCGCACCTCCTAAGCTCCGCACACCGCCACAAGGCCCACAACCACACCTCCGCACGCCGCCGGCAGTCCACCAGCTTCCAGCCTCCATCCGTCCAGGCGTCCGCACTCGGCACTCCGCACACCGCCAGGCCGCCACGGCGCTGCTGCCCACCGGCCACCACGGCGCAGCTTCCCACCGGTCACCACGACCTGCCGGCCGCCTCCCTGAGCCCGGTCAGTCCACTTATTTTCAGTATATATTTTTTAATTTAGTTGCTAACTCTGGTGAATTTTTGAATTATTGAATTGATGAATTGTTGGTTGAATTGTTGAATTATTGTAATTTGTTTATTTTCTGATTTTCTGATTTCAGGTTTCAATGTTTGTTGAATTGTTTCATTGTGGTTTTTTGTTGATTTTTTGCAGTTAAAGTTAACCATTATTTGAATTGACAATAAATGTGTAAATGTGTTTAGCAATTAAAATTTAAGAAAGTGGTATAAAAATATTATTAGGTAACTTGAGCTCGATAAATTATAATTATACACTAGAATAGTCATTCATGTTTTCACCATGGAATCTGAAACACTCGAAGATATTGACATTGCAAGTTTGGTAGATGACTTTGCATCTAAATATGCTCGAAGAATGTCTCTTTTTAAATAAACTGTAAGTTTTTAATGACTATTTTCATTTTAATAATTACGTTTATTAGTAACTTGTATTTTAAGACAATTTGCTTGTGTTGCAACTTGAAAAAAAGCCCAAATATTATTCTTGCATAGGGCCTCCGTTTTCTCGGGACCGGCCCTAGTCGTCACCTGCAGCACAAGTTGTCGTTCAGATAATAGTTCCCCCTTATCCCCTTCCTTCTTCGTTTTCAGCAGGTGGGTCATCTTGTACAGCCGTACAGGTCGTCGTTTGGCTATTTTGTTGCTTCGTCGTTTTCAGCACAGGCTGTAGACTCGTAGTTGGCTATATTGTTCTAATGTTTTGGCACTTTTAATTTTTGTTTGGAGCTTGGCAGCCGCACATACAATATTACAATGTTTATAAATTATATTTTGTTGAATACTTCATGTAACTAAATCACCATATTATCAATAAGCTTACTGTTTATAGTTTTTTAAATAATTCAATTACTTTTTAATATTACTTTTTTAATATTTTATTGTATATTGTATAATTTAGATTATTTAAAAATTCACACACACACACATATAATATTTATAAAATAACCCCTATATTTTTAATATTTGCGCGTTTCCCCCGCGTTTTGTGTCCTGTATTTTTGGTAAATGGCGTTTCCGACGTTTCCCGTTTCCGTGCTACTTAGGGTCTGACTGATAAAAGTTCTGGACGGCGAGGGATTTAGCGGCTAAAACCCTTCCTATCTATTCTGGCGAAACCCCTTATTTTTTGCTCTCTATATTCTTAACCCCTGCACAAAGAGAGATTATCTATGGGTAGAAGCTCCGGAAAATACAAAAAGAGGGAAAGCAACCCCTCAAGCAAGTCTTCCAAAACAGAATTCTACAATGAAGACGATGATATGATGGATGACGAAATTGATGCCTGTATGTATTTCTTTCCTTCTCCTGGTTCCTTTCCTTATTACAATTATGTCTACAATTTTTTCCTATCGATCTGGTTGCAGTTCACAAACAGAGGGATATAGTTCCACTGGACATTGATAAAGATGCCAACGATGAATCTGATGAAGATAATGAGCATCCGGTTTATGATTTAGAGGTATAATCACGCATCAGTTAACACTTGAGCTGATTTGAGAAGCATGCAGTAGTAGTTTTCAGGAGAAAATGTGTTTCAAAGATACACCTTTTATTAATATGCTGGTTGTGTAGGATGATGACGAAGAAGATGAAGATGAAGAGGAAGATGATGACTACAATGATGACAATGTTGCTAAAAGTAAGTAAATAACCTCCCTAGTCCCTACACATTGAAGTACTTTGTATGATGATATTTGTAGTTTAGGAGTATTCATTTGTATGAACTTCCAAGCCTATGACACTTTAGCCCAATTAAAGGTGGATACACTCATATCTCGACTTTCATCTTATACTTTCACAACTACGCTTCTATTGTTTGGCTTCTGTTTTTCTCTTTCTATAAACTTGTTGAATGAAATAATTTTCCTGAATTATATACTGGTTAGAATATCTATTGCACCTATCTTAAAGTGTTCTACATTTGCAGTGTCAAGGCAGCTAAAGTATCTAAAGGCCAAAGTGGGCGGGGTTGATGATGAAATGCATGATGAAGCTGATGAAAAAGAAAAAGAGAGATCTGTGTGGAGTAGGCATAAGCCAGTTTATTACAAAAACGATAATGTTCGTACATATAAATTCTATCCTGTATTTATAGCATTCATGACACATGTGCCATTACTCTTTTTTGTTTTCAAATGTAATCTTAAGGAAACAGTTGCATATATTTTGTTGTGATATAGATAAGAGTGTTGAAAAGTAATGAAACTGACACTTATTTCCATTTTTAGCAAGATTCAAGTGATGAGGATGAGGAAGAGGTTATGAGGTTGCAGAAGAAGAAAGCTGAAGGTCTGACATTAGAAGACTTCGGTCTTGAAGATGATACAGAGGCAACATTTGAGGTAAGATATTTGTGTCTTGCGATTGGCATATTAGCATTCAGGTATCAACTATTCAAATTTGGGAAGGAAAATAAAATGCTGTTGGAGTGAATTGGAACAAGATAATTACATTACTGCTCCGCTGCAGGAAATTATTACAAAAGTAAAACCAACTGCGAGAATTGACTCAGACAAAGAAGAAGTCGATGGAACTAGAATTGCCTATGAGAAAATACAGAGAGATTTAAATGCTTTGACAAAGGAAGAGCAGATGGATGTTGTCTATAGGTGAACTACTCGTCTCGTTCTGTCAATGGGACAATACTTTCCCTTTTTATGCTTCTCAGTTTATCCATTATTTCCCCATGTAGCTCTGCCCCAGAATTAGTTGGTTTATTGTCTGAGCTTAATGAAGCACTCGAGGAGCTTGATAACAAAGTAAATCCGCTTTTGAGCAAGGTACTACCTCATTATCTAACATCTCTAGCATCTGCTCCTCCAATATTTTTATAGTTTTATATAGCAATGTATGACATTTAGACATCATTACTAATAAAACTAAGAATGCTGTCTTAAGAAGTTCCGCTGTAGACAAATCACCAGTTCTCAAGCAATGTATTTGTGTATTGATGGTTTCTTTAGATTATATATATTTGTTCTGCACTTGAGTGCATTGGCAAATACTAGGTCAATAGGTTTGCTAATTGCTCTCTGGTTATTTTATATTTTTAAAGATCATTGTTGAAAGCGGAAAGAAAGGAGAAATGAATTACATGGAGGCCAAAAAGCTGCTTCTACTCTCATATTGCCAGGCTATTACGTTCTATCTACTTCTTAAATCAGAAGGGCAACCAGTCTGTGATCATCCTGTTATTGCTCGGCTTGTGGATATAAAGGCTTTGTTGGATAAGGTTAGCATCTGCTTTTAACAATTACAGACTAAATGTTAGTCTTATTTACTAAGATGTAAAAAATGAGTACCAGTCCCTCACTCATCACTGTCACAGCCTTAATGAATAAAACAAACAACATCCGAGCCTTATCCCCAAAAGAGTTCGCGGTTTGAATCGTCATATGATATAAGAGTTAAAAAACATTAGATAGAGAGAGATAGACAAACATTATAGGATTAGTCTT